CAGCACCAGGTCCTCGGGGCTGATGAAGATGTTGGCCGGCTTGAGGTCGCGGTGCAGGACGTTGGCCGAGTGGATGTACTTGAGCCCGCGCAGCAGCTGGTACATGAAGAGCTTGGCGTGCTCCTCGGCCAGCTTGCCCTGCTCCAGCAGCCGCGCCAGGTCGGTCTCCATGTACTCCTGCACGACGTAGACCACGTTGAGCTTGAAGAAGTCGCCGCGCAGGCGGGCGCCCTTGGGCCCCAGCACCTCGTAGACCTTGACGATGTTCTCGTGGTCCAGGCGGCGGATGATCTTGACCTCGCGGAAGGCGTGCTTCAGGCTGCGGGCGTCGCCGAGCGCCAGCTTCTTCACCGCCACTTTGCGGCAGCTCTCGCTGTCCAGGGCCGACAGCACCAGCCCGTTGGCCCCGAAGCCCAGGGGGCGGAAGTTCCCGAAGCGGCAGCCCAGGTCGTAGCCGTAGGCGCTGGCGATGCAGTCGCACTTCTCGGCCATCGCCGGCTTCCTCTCACTCCCCCCCCTCGTCACTCGGAGGGCCGGGAGGGTCGCGGAGCTGCCAGGTGGGAAACGCGGCCGGGAACCGAGCCCCTCATCGTCAACTTACGGGGTGGTGGCGTCTCTCGGAGCCCGTCAGCTCCGTGGTGACGCAAAGTAAATCTGAGCACACACACACACAGAGGGAAATAAAATGTTCTGAGCTGGGCTGGAAGAGACTTCCCAGGCAGCCCCAGCGATCTCTAGCACAACAGGAAGGTTCTTTTATTTTCTTGAGACCAGGAGATCGGCGCCGCTACATTTTTCAGCCCCTGCCTGGTATCCCGGAGGCGGTGCCGAAGCGCCGGGCCGGCGGTCCCTGACGTCTCAGTGCCGGGGCAGCCGTGGGGGCAGAGCCCAGAGCAGCCCCATGGCCCCTCCGCCGCCCCCAACCCTCCCCGCCCGCAGGTCCTGGCGGCGCCTTCCCCACCAGCGAAGCGCATCCAGGCACCGTCTGGTGCTCCCCCGGCCGTCAGCAAAGCTTCGCCCTCCTCGTCGCTCCCTCTCCGGAACAGGCAGGCCCCATCTTCATCACCGCACGCAGAAACCCCGAGGGCAGCACAAACGTTCTGCAGATCAGAAGATGGGTTTGCTGGTGGTTTTCACAGCAGCGAGTTTCCACGTCTGCGCTGCCAGCGCCTTCCCTGGCGGGGCCGAGCGCCGCCCGATCGTTCCGGCCTGACCCGAGGAGCTCCGGTGCCCTCAGCAGGTCTCAGCCTCTCCCCTGGAAGAGAAGAGAAGAGGAGATGGATTCATTTGATAGCAGCAGCTTGCTGAAGGTTTAACCGTGAGCTAAAAAACCCGTGACCTTTCGGAGGCTCATTAGTTATCCCCCTCCAATCGCCGGCATTTTTCAGCTGCTTAATTGTCCCTTTTTCCATCTGCGAGGCGCAGAAGAGCTGTTAACTCTTCCTCTCTCTCTCTCCCCTTCGCTGATTTTTTTATTTATTTTTTTTTTTAATTTTAATTTTTCCCGAGGACGACCGAAACTGCTCGGGCACCCCGCTGCTGGAAAAGGCAAATACCAACATCTGCTGGGGGCAGGGATACGGATTCAGCCGGAGGAATCTCGGTATTTGTGGGAATCAGAAAGGAAGGAAAGGCCTGACGCTCTCTAGGAAACAGCTGGGCTTCTCCTTGCAGGCGATCAGCTCAAAGCTTTCAACCCGCCACGTCTCCCCGCGAGGTGTTTACGGATCTCAGAGGGGCGAGGGCATCTCTCCTGCCTGTCTGTGGCCTTGTCCTGCTCCCAAACACCCTCTAACACTGCAGACCCACCTGCAGATGCCCCGTGCCACCCACCAAGCAACCACCAACCAGTTAAAGGTGGAGGAGAAACGTCACGCTCCAGGGCAGCACGGAGCAGCGGCCTGAAGAGGGAACCAGCTGATGGTTAAAATAAAGACACACAGCCCATCTGACTGTGTAGGCAGGGCAGGGATACCCCTCTGAAGAGCATCTGCCAGCAGCCACCGAGCCAGTCTGGCAAAGAAAGCCTGCCCGCTCCCTGTTAGTTGGAAAGCAAAACTAATTACAGCCTCTTTTTTGCAAGCCAGCAATTATCTAATGCAAGGATCGAGCAGAGGGGGAAGTGGGACAGCCGGAGAGAAACAGTCCACAGTCAAAGGGAAAAGGTGGGAAATGAGGAGGGAAGGGGAAAAGGAAGGTAAATAAATCTGCAGGAAGGTTCTCCCCAGCAGCAGGGCCGGGGAAAGGGAGGAGATGCCGGCCAAACCCAAGGGAAGGTGGTGGAGGTTCTGACCAGCCTTCCACGAAGGACTACAGGAGTTATTTTTGTTTTTTTCCAGTCTCCTCCTTCATCACCCACAAACCAGACCCATCGCTTCTGATCAGCTATCTCAGCAAGCTCCCGGAACTTCCCAGCTCCAAATCCGACAGTGAGAGCTCCTCCTCGTCACCGAGGGACTGGCTGGACGAATTCACTAAAGCTCAAGCGTCTGAACAAGATGCCTGTTATTAACAGGGCGCCGCAGGTGCTAATTAAAGGAGGGTAACAGCGATCTCTCGCTCGAGCACCTTGCAAAGGGTTCCCTCTCATCAGCCCTTTTCAAGATTAAAGCCGGGAGGGGCTCTCAGGGGGGTTGAGCTTATTCATTCCCATCCTTCCTTCTCTTCACTCCAGCATCTCCTCCCCTCCAGCAAAAGCCTTCTAAATGTCCTTTCTCCCCTGCCTCAGCATCCCCTCTGAGCGCAGGGGATTCCACCTCCAGCCTGGAGTCACTGAGGCAGCGGGAAATAAGGAGGCGGCTCCTCCTGCTGCTCTTCACTCCCACGCTTCAAGGCTGACACCTAATTAGTCCTCCCCGTCATTAAACAACGGCTCCCGGTGCTCAGTCCTGCGGGAACTGTTCCACCGGGGAGCAGGGTCACTCCTCGGGGCTGAGCACGGGTGAAGGCAAAGCTTCTGCTCTCCCCTCTTGGCAAACAGGGGGGAAAAAAAACACCTCCTCCCTCCCTGCTAATTTTGGGATCTGTCCTGCCCTGACAACCCAGCTGGACCGAATTAACACCCGTGGGTGGGGTGGGCTCAGGAGTGGACCTGTTCCTCTGAAAACAGCACTTATCAGACATCTTTAATGCCAGGATCCAAGCAGGAACTCATTAAGAAAAGTGGAGATGCCACAAGCAGCTACAAGCCAGAAGGCACCAAGCAGCACCGTGGCCAGAAGGAAGGTAAAAATCTCCGTGAGCCTGCGGGGAAAAGCACCTCTGCTGCCCCAAACCTCGCTCAGGAAAACAGGAATTTTTCCTTCTTAGCAGCCCAGGGCGCTCGTGGACAGGCCAAATGACACTGAGAAATCAGGCAGCGCTCATTAGTTCACAGAAAAGAACAGAAAACAAAGAGGAACTTGCTGACACTAGCAGGGATTTTGAGCAGTGTGGGAAAGCCACCCCTGACCTGCTGGTTGTGGTCAGTCAGCCGTGGAGGGGGCTGTGAGAGGCCGGAGGGCCTCAAACTGCTCTGGGGCTCGGCCAGACAGCACCCAGACAGCCAGACAGCACCCAGACAGCCAGACAGCACCCAGACAGCACCCAGACAGCACCCAGACAGACAGACAGCCAGACAGCACCCAGACAGCACCCAGACAGTGCCTGAGCAAACACAGCCCCAGCACAGCGCTCACACCCGCCCGGCTGCCCCTCCCGGGACAGGAGCCCACGCCACAACATCCCAGCTGGGACACCCCAGATAGGACACCCCAAGCTGTGACACCCCAGATAGGACACCCCAAGCTGGGACACCCCAAGCTGGGACACCCCAGATGGGACACCCCAGATGGGACACCCCAAGCTGTAACAC